CGCAAGCTACGTTCCTGTCCACAAATTGGCGTATGTGTTTCCCTTGGCCCGGTATCATATTTTGCTCGTGTCTCAGACAGCAATTAAAGACTTTGTAAGCGCCTTTGACCTTTAACCTAAATCTGTGCTGTGCCAAAGCTGAACAGGATACCAGTCAGGTTAACTGAACCCCTCAATAGTTGGTTAATTCTCTGCCAGTTTTGTGTGTATACTGCTGAGGGCTTTGGCCTGCAGGTCAATTAACACTTTTATTCCTACTTGTTTAGCCAAAGCAGCATCATGAATAAGAGCCTAATTGTTCCTAAAACTAATTTGACCATTGAACTATTTGATTGGTTCCTGGCATGCATTTCGTATTTAGAATATTGATTAAACTTGAGCTTCAAGGGGGCCTATTACGCTCATTTTCCAGCACCGTATTTTGATTTCTGCACATTATTAAAGTAGCATTTCATTATGGAGTTCAGAAATGATCTTTATTTATCTTACACTGGGCTTCGGTACACCCCAACAAGCATTTAGCTCATTTCTCCCTGCTTTTAAGTTAGCTTCTTTCTGATTGGCTGTTACTCACAATCAAGACTTCTGTGGTCTCATATGAACACTCATTGACGTCATACAGAGACAAGAGTATAAAAACTGCCTCACACTCAGCTTTTGGCTCATGGGATTACACGCACTGCACTATTGGAAGACTAAATATGAAAAAGCGTAACAGGTCCTCTTTAAAGAGTCTTTTGAGACCTTTTCTGACATTTGTTGCTGAATAGCCATATAAAGAGAAACCTATTTAAAATAGGCGGAAGAATCAGTTTCTCCATTGACAGTAGGCTATGCATTGCAGGCTTTCATCATTGTGAGTCTGTCAATCTGATGTCAGCGGCTTGTGTAACAACACCTTCATCCAGGAACAATACACAAGATTGTTCTCTCTCGACTCTTTCTTCCCTGGAAAAAAAAAAAATGACTCAACTTATACTTGAGTTGTTGTGAAGATTTTTTTGTTTGGTTTTTTTCCCCCTCTCACCTAACCTTCACGTAGATGCTGCAGAGAACCTCGTCCTCCCAGGGGTTGTAGCAAATTAGATCTGGGAAATGGAGGAACTCTGTAAGTGATGTGGGAGTAGATAAGATGGGTTCAAACAAGGTGGGTGCACCAAAGTAATTTAAAGTTAACAGTGGAGAGCATGCTACGCTGGATTTTTCTTTTCATGCACGCGTTGAGGGCCCCAGTGAGATATAAAACACCTAAAACTGCAGTTTGGCTGCAGTTGACCTGTTGAGCTGTGCAGAGGTTAGACATTTTTGCCATGTAAGTCACCATCCACCCATGCTAGATAGAGACAGAGTGTTACAGGCTAACTTTATGTCAGTGAGACAAAGGGGAGGTGCTGTGAGGGCTTGTTAGTCTGCTGTGTACTCGGGATGTCAGCGTGCGAGGGCTTCAGGCAGATAAACTTTAGATCACAGAGGCGCAAAGCGTCAAGGCAGTGAAGAGCTCATTTGCATGTGCCCGTGTTTACAGTGAAACACAGCAAAAAAGTGCTAAAAGCACAGACATGGGCTGAGTCGAGGTTTTCACGAAGACTTTTTCATTCAAATGAACATCAGCTTCACCTTTTCTAGCTTTGCTGGCTTTTTACAGCTCGTGCAACCTGGATTTGATCGCTGTGGGGCTGTGATGAAGTGCTAAGCGCTTAATTGTTGTTCTAAATGAAGTTTCAAGAGAAGTTGGAATCTCATGCAGAATAACACTGGCGTGATTAAATTTACCTGGCTCCAGCTAAATTAGATCTCATGTTCTGATGTGTCAACTGAAAGTTAAATACACAGGCAGGACTGTTTTGGTGGGAAGAGTGAAAGCGGACTCCCTTTTGTTTGGGTTGGGTACTGCCAACAGTGATGCGTGGTGACGGCGGAGCTGCCGAGCAAAAGC